GCACACGCTGCTGCTGCAGGTGCACCAGCTCGTGCACACGCTGCTGCAGCAGAGACGCTGACCGCATGTCCCGCGGGGACGAAGCGTCTTCTCTCAGAATCCAACGCAGCACAAACGCAGCACTGACCACTCATCGTATTTACTGGGATTTTTGTTGTGGGTGGGGTGTCAGCGTCACCTGCTCAGCTGTGCACCCTGCAGACAGCGCACGTTTTAAGCACGGGAGCGTCTCCAGACAGCTCTGCAGAGCGCGCACAACTGTTCATGTGTCAGAGCTCCTGCATGCATTTCAAAGATAATAAATAAAAAAGCTTACAGTAAAAAAATAAAATAAAATAGTACGAGTGAAAAGTTTGATGTGTATTATTCACATCACGTTTCAAAATAACAAGATCAAAATGTTAAAAGGACCGTCCAGTTTATTATCTACAACAAATGGATGGATTGTCCTTAGTGGACAGAGACTGGAGCAGAACACGCAGGACTGAGAAGAGTTCGGGTCAAACATTGAAGTTTTTGTGTGTGTTGGGGGGGGGGTAGGACACTTGGCAGAATCGGAGCTCTCTAAAATAGTAATTTCACTTTAACCTTTATTTATACAGCCTGTTAGTCTCATTGAGCCTCATCACTCCTGTTTTTAATCAAAAGTTTACAGATGTTTAACCACCTGTTAAAATACAACTAAGCAGGAAATGGCATCTTCTATTACAAAGTTTCTGGGGGAGGGCCCACGGACACCCCCCTTCCCCCCACCCATCAACACGCTGCTTTTTTTCAAAAGTATCCAGCTCACAAGGCGAACATGTACACCTATGTGGTGGCAGCCATGTTGGATTTTGACAGTTCAAACCAACTTTTGAAAGGAACCTTTCGTACATGTAGATGGAGCCACACACAGAAATGGAAGTCAGTACCTCACTTAATTTTCAAGATATGTTCCCTTTGTGACGAGGGTTATCTGAGGAGCAGGCTGCTCTGAGCTGAACTCCATCTAGTCGGACATATAAAGGCTGCAGCTGGAAAAACAAGCCGGGTGTCCCAGCAACCAGCGATGAACTGGACTCGAGCAGAACCCAGCTGCCCTGCTCGGCCTCGGTGCAGATCTGTGAAGAAGGCCGTCCAGAGACGACCTAAGGCAGCTGTCTGTGAGAGAGTGATCCATCGGCAGTGACCAACATATTCATGGTCTGGTCCTGGTTTTTGCAGGACATCTTTGCTGTGACAGTTCCAGTACAAAGTACCAGTACACCCCAGTAAACGGTCACTTCTTCAGAGAGAGCAGCCTGTGTGGAGCCAGGACTGCTTCGTGTTTCTGTCTCCTGAATGAAATACCTGGGCTCTGCTGCGCCGTTTCTGCTTCTTGAGCTTCTCGCTGCTCCTGGAGCTTCTTACAAACTTTCTTGTGAGTAAACCAGTGCATCTTTTGACACGTGTGGCCACAGTACAGAACCTGGAACATAAAAGAACAGACGGCAACTTGAGCTGACTGATAAATGTCATCTGGATGAAAAGAACAACATTCAAACTTGTGCAAACAACCAAACGTGATAAATGATCAGTCGATGGAAGAGTTGCTGTTTTGTGGTCGGGGGTAAGATTAGTCGTCCTCGCTGTTCACCTCACCCACCTGCTCTGCTGTGATCAGCAGAATTCTTCTCACCTGATGGTCGGAGCGTTTCAGCGCTCGCCTGTTCTCCATCCAGCACCAGATTATTGAACGCTTGTCCAGCGATCATCTCCTGCTCCCGACTGATCCCCTCATCCTGAACAAGTTTGTGTCCTGGATGGATTTTCCTGTTTCACCTCGCCCGTCTGTCAAGCTTCTGATGTCTAGACCTTGACCTTTGACCTCTGAGTATTGCCTGAACCTCAGATAAGTAGTTTGAAGTCCGTCTCCCTGTCTGTTCTCTGACTAGCGCAGAGTTCTGGACGGATCCAAACTAAGCAACAACCCCACTCAGGACTCCCCTCTCGCTGTGACATCACTGCTCTCTCCAACCGATCCTCTACCTGGGGAGGTGAGTTTAACCGCAGGATCAAGTCCCTGATCCGAGCTCTAAAAGAAGGTTAGTGGGTTTTTCCTCTGAACTCTGTTGAAGCTCCGAGTCCTTCCACAGACATGAACTCGTCCTCTTCCTCCTCAGACTTTCCAGTGCGTTTCCACAAACGTGCGCTGACTTCCACCAGTCTTTTCAAAATAAAGCTTACTGAACTTTTGTCTGGTTGAATTTTACACAATCTCTTGCTCGGGGGACTCTGGAACCAAACCCCCGCAAGGGGTGAGGGCTGGAACCAAACCCCCGCGAGGGGTGAGGGCTGGAACCTAACCCCCGCGAGGGGTGAGGGCTCACTGTAAAAGTGATTGATTCACCAACGATCTTTTGTTGTGTTAAATAAGACCGGATAATTCTGGGCCCAAATCCTTCCTGTAGTTCGGCACTCACCATTTTACAGATGGAGCATCTTTTCTCGGCTCCTTTGGCCCCGCACGTCGTGCAGAACTCTACGTCCATGAAGCCGACCTGACCCGTGATGGCCTGGGTCAGCACCGACAGAGCTGTGGGGTCGTTACCCTGAAGGGACATGAAGAGGATTAAAAAAATGATGTAGAAATTAAAATAAATACACCAGAGTTTTAAATTATGTTCTATTAACTTTAATATTCTTTAAATTCAAGTGACTGCCTCCAGCTTCAAGAAGCTGAAAATCTTGGCTTTAAACTTTAAAACCATCTTAAAGTTCCTCTCCTTTTGTGAGGGACCTCAAAGTTTCGAGGAGTTCAAAGCTTTACAAACTCACGATGTCCACAGGGGCGATGCTGCGCACGAGCTGCTGCAGCAGCGTGGCCTCGCAGTACGGGAACTTGCGGACGCACTCTCGGATAAACTTCTCCTGAAACACGGGAAAGCCATCGCTGTCCCGACCTTTCAGCAAACTGGGACGGATAAACGGGTCGGACGTTTCAATAATGTCCTCATTTGGTACAGAAATACATTCAGTTAATGCACTTTGAACAATCTCTTAGTAATTAGCTGCTACTATCGAACACAAAACAGAATGAATCATGTTAACCACCAAACATCAAACCATCCCAGAAAACAATGGCTCTTGGTCATGAGGACATTAGGAACACGTCCGTCCTCGTCTGGTCCCACCTCTTCATGAGGCCGTCCAGCTTGTCCTCGCGCTCTTTGAGGAAGGACGAACACTTCCCCAGCACGCAGCTGATGTAGTGCATCTTCATGGCCAAAACCTCGTTCATGTCCTGCTGCTTGATGCACTTCTCACAGATGAGCTCCATCACCCGCCCACATTTGTCCAGAGCCCCCACCTCTGCCAGCAGCGGGTTTTCTTTCACCAGCATCACTAACTGGGAACAAACGGAAAGTTTCAGCGTCGAACACGCACACGTCTGATTTCTTCTTACGCAGGACGCTTTAATGTGATCACAGAGAAGCAGTTAATGAGAACAGATGTGCAAACATCAGTCCATTAGTGTGAGGATTGTTGCAACACACACACACACACACACACACACACAGGTAACACAACTGGACAGATTCTTGTGGGCTTATAGAGGTGTGGACATTTATTTGCATTTAAAACACAAACTCTCTGATTTGTTCTGTGACTAATTACTTTAAAAAAAAAAAACTGCAAAGTTATTTTAACTTTGAAAACTAGGAACCCAACAACTCAGTAATTAACGTTAGTCCACAAACAGAGTCTGATAAACTGTACGTGGACTAAAGTGTTCAAACTCTGACAGTCAGAGTTTGAACACTTTAGTTTTATTTAATTCCAGTTACAGAGGATGTGAAGTCCTTGCTGTTGCCTCATGCTGCTGATCATCTACGCAGCCTCTCATCAGAGCAGCTGATAAATATTCATGCCCCTCACTCCACAGAGGAACTACTTCAGTAAAAACAAGCGTCTCAGTACAAATACAACAGATTTTAAAGAACCAGGAACAAGAAAATGAGAAAAATCACTTTTGATCATTGAAGACATTGGACAAGTTGGCTGCATGATACCCCCCCAACAGAATATTTAGTGCATTGCGTCGTATTTAAGCCCCCACTGTACGTTTGGCGATGCCCCACCTTAACAGGATTCAAGTTGGTGCTCATGATGATCTTGTGAAGGGGTCCAGCCAGTTTGGGTGGCAGCTTTGGTTCCTTCTCCAAACCTTGGGGCTTAGTGTAGTAATCCAGTCTGGCACGGGAAAAGTAGTTGTTGATCACTGTGACACAGTCGTGTTGCCCTGAAGGTGACAAGAGGACTTCGTTACGGCTTTAATGAACTATAGCATGAGACGCCTGACAGCATCAAACAGGACGCGGCGCTGATCATTTACAAAACGCTTCACTAACCAACAAAAGCTGCCATCTGCGCAGCGGTCCGTCCGACAGAGTTGGTCACGTCTGTTTCGGCCCCGGCGTCCAGCATCATCCACGTAATGTCGGTCTTTCCTGAGGGCACAGAGGTAAACTCAAAACTACAGATTGTTTTATTTTTCTAATAAAGCACAGTGTTGTCTGCATTTTTCTGCAGCAGCAACATGTGACAAGTTTCACAGGTCGACAGTGAAACTCGCCTGACAGGCCAGCAAACATGAGCGCCGTGTATCCGTGCTCGTGCTGGTTGCAGTTTACATCGGCTCCGTGTTGCAGCAGCAGCTTGCACATGTCTGCTTTCCCTTTGTAGGCAGCGTGCATGAGAGGAGTCATCCCATACTGTTGACAAAACAAAAACAATTACCATGAGCTTTTTAACACTCTATCAATCTAAAATCAACATTAATGTTCTGCATGGATTATATATTCAACTAGAATCTTGTCTATTAATTTGAAACAGATTTACCTGCACTAGGATTTTTATTTTTTTTAATGATCGTTTTGACATTTTCTGTTCAAAACAAAGGAAACCAGAACAGGCATAATCGAAAAAAATGAAATAATAAAAACTTGAGAAATGCACTAAAACGTTGAGGAAAAAATATTAAACTTTTAGAAAATACATTCCTTTTAACACCCCGATTGAAAAATAGAACGGAGTGCTTTTACAAAACAGCTAGGAATGTTTTCTTCTTTACAAACATAACCTGCTGTCCATTTTCGTTTTTAAAGAAAGCTCCTTTTCAGACTCAACAAAGTTCCGTGAGGTCCTCTGGACGGTTTCTGTGTGTTGAAACGTTTCGTCTCTTGACCTCCAGCACCTTTCTTATCACATCAAACCGGCTCACAGCTTCTTCGGCTGCTCCTTCTTCAGGGGTTGCCAGATCGAGTGAACGCTTCTGAAAGATTTGGCACTTGTTTTACGTCGGATGCCCTTCCTGATGCAACCTGGACTGGAACCCGCAACCTCAGGATTACAAGAACAAGGCACTATATATTTAGCTCTTTTTGGATGTAACTGGGACCTTGAGTACACAGTTTTGTTCCACCTCATGTGCCACATGTGATGCGAATGATAAGAACCTTGAACCGACCACTGAGCTACAGCAGCTGTTTATCTTTTATAACATTAGTTTAATCACAAATACAAGAGCACACTGTTCAATTTCATATAGAAATCCTAAACGGTAAATAAAGTAAGACTGACGTGTTCCAAAACAAACAAGTTAAACCTGGTTTTCTTAAACTATATTTAAGTGGAAAGCTCAAGAAGCTCGAGAAGTTATGAAGAGTTTTCTTCTGTGATGTACCTCATCCAGACAGTTAACTCGAACATCTTTACAGCCCAGCAGCCTGGAGGCCTCGGGAACATTTCCTGCAAGCACAAAACTCAAATTATTGTAGAACAGCTCCAGGCAACAAAGATTTTAAATCCTGCACATTTTAAATCCTGCAGGATTAGTTTAGGATCACTCAGTTGATGGCTGCATGCAAGGTAAACACACTATTAGCTAAGGCTGACTATAACAGATTTAAAAAGCTACGAGTACTTTATTTCAACAAATAGGTTGGGAAGTAGAAAAGCAGCAGACATTTTCACGCTGGCGGCAATCTACTATCAATAATATGTATCTTATTTTACAAGCTAACCAGGCAGGGATTAGCGTTAGCTGAACAGGCTTACCTGCTGTAATGACCTCAAACAACTCCTTTTCGCTTGAAGACAGGTCTCCTTTCTTGGGTGCAGACATGTTGACGGCTCACAGTTTTAAATAAAAATATAGTGACACCAGAATTATGTCAGATTTCTATTAAAATCAATATCGTCCTTGGCTCTGATAGTGCGAGGCTCCAGCAGGAATGCTAACTGTAGGAGAGCTGTCATTTGGAATGTACCACTGACGTCTGTCAGGAGGGGTGTACGGTATCGGGACAAACTACTGTAAAAAGCATTAAAACACTTTACTTGTGTGT